GATCGGTTTCTAAGAAATCTTTCAATTAAATTTTACGATCTCCTATTTTCCCATCTATTATTTTCCTGAGCTTTTGGTAGGTTGTCAATAAGAAAATTTCTATAAGCTTTGAATGACATTTCCAATTCTACAAGCTGTGTGCCACCCAACTGATCACACATATATACACCTGCAAATAAGTTGGTGTTTGGAAGGTTAGCTGCTTGCTGTTTGTAATTCTTGCACCAAATGCTGCAACTATTGCTTTTTGAGAATTGTTTTGACGCGGCGTCTTTCCTTATCACTTTGAGAAGGGGGCACCTTGCTTCGAGTAACCTGGCCAGTTGAGATAAGGCTACTCGATGATTATTTTTTGATTGAAATTTGAACCGACTCGTATATGACTTGTGCTGAAGTTTACAATTTACATAAAGTTTCCTTTCACTGAGTGTTACTGTCAATGTTGTAAGCATCAAAAGAACTACACTTTTTCATCGCGTCTTACTGTTGCTCCAGCCAGACCTTTTGCCTTTTTGAACTGTTCACATTTTTATTTAAAGAGGATCTTTCCTGCTCCACTCCTTGCTAGGTGTATTGCTGGCATCACTTTACAAAAAGCATGGGGTCGGAAGTGTGTCCTTGTAGCGCCATGCATTGTTTCCAGAACTAAAGTACTAACTAGGTGATAGAAAATTAGCATCGAGAGAGATATAAATTGAATAGCAGGGTGGTCCGTGAAAAATCATCAAAATTTTCACAAGTATCATCGAATCGACTTTTTGCTGATTTACCGGCTTTGCGAAGTCATTTATAATCGAAAGAATTTTCCGTTCATTTACTCCTCACGAATAACTGGCGCAGTTTGTGCAAACAAATCCAGAAAAAGTGGGGAAAGGAAGGACATTATAAAAATGTGCAAATAACTTCTTTAAACCTGTAAATAATTTAAAATTTTTTGAAATATCAATTTAGCTATATGAAAAAAAATTTGGGGTCCTGGGCCCTCAAAAAGTCTGGGAAGAAGCCCAAAAAATTTTTCGGAGGCTAATGCCATGCAGGTAGCAACTGTACAAATCTATTCTCCCTTTCCTTCATCCCTTTGAAAATGCATTGGGTTTATTAATTCACTCCAGTCGCTACATTCGAAGGCAAAAAAATTGTCATTTCATTATAATCTGAAAAACTTTTCGCCTAATTTCCTTTATACCGCCTTCTAGCCGAGATGGATAGATTAGAAGTGTACCCATAAAGAGTTCGTTCATCCGGAGGGAAAGCTCTTCAAAATTTGATTTTACATATCATTGTTCTCAGCCTTTGATACACATGTAAGCAAGAAAATTCCCTGCTAATTGAAGGATTGCTCTCCTTTATCACGCGTTTTCACATTTCACTGTGGGAAACTTCAGTGTTCGGGAATATTTTTTTCTCGTCACAGTTCACAATAACATTTTTTGAAAGTCGTCCACTTATACATACTACTGCTTTATATTAATGAAAGGACTATTTTCAGGCACATGGGCTTTCTACGCTACGCAGCATTCCTGGGTGTTGCTACGATCCTCATTAACTATGGTATGGATCTGCTTTATTCGAAGCATCCTCTTCATTTTGGCGGGAAGGTGGATAGCAAGTATGAAAGCGTACGGAAAGCCTTTGAGTGAGTCAGGTGTGGTTTCTGATGTTTGCAAAATTATAGTTTTATTAGCGCTCAAGTTTAGGCAAAATTTCATCGATGGATTGGAAACAGAAGGCGCTTCCTTTGCAGTTTACGTAAAAGGACAAAAAGTGGTTGATCTTTGGGGAGGCTATGCAGACTTACAAGCAGCAAGAACATGGAAAGAAGTACTGTGGAGTGTCTATCTATCTGGTTAAAACGGTAAATAACCTACTATTCAGGATACGATGAGTGTCGTATTTTCGACTACCAAAGCCGTAGCTGCGCTTTGCATTGCGGTGCTGGCCGATCGAGGAAGGCTCAGATACGATGACCTCGTATCAAAGCACTGGCCAGGATTTGCAAAAAATGGAAAAGATAACATCACCATCGAGTGGGTGATGTCTCATATGGTGAGCAGACCGGGCACTTGAATTGTTTATTTCGGTCAGTTCTATACTATTTTTCTAGGCAGGTCTGTACTACTTTGAAGAGCCTATCACCAAAGAAATAGCTACAAACCACGATCTTATGAAAAAGCTGATTGAGAACGAGACCCCCAAGTTTCCACCAGGAACTGCCTTTGGCTACCACGCTATGAATTATGGCTGGCTCGTTGACCAGATTATCAGGCATACTGATGAGAAGAAACGAGGGATTGGGCAATTTTTGCGGGAGGAGATTACTGGACCAAACGGTAGGAAACTTGTTTGTTGAATAAGAAATCTCAATAGGCTTGAAGAATGGTATTTTTTGAAAGTAAATAAAAAAA